AAAATAACTCAACATACAGCCATTGTTGTCTAAATAACTGGCAACAAAAGTGAGTACACCCTAAGTGAATATGTCAAAACAGTGTCCAAAGTGTCAATATTTTGTGTGAGCACCATTGTTATCTAGCGATGTCTTAATCCTCCTGGGCATGGAATTTACCAGAGCTGCACAGGTTGTTGCTGGGATCATCTTCCACTCATAATGACATCACGTAGCTGCTGGATGTTAGACACATGGCGCTTCTCCACCTTCTGCTTGAGGATGCCCCACAGGTTGAGTGGAACTCGTCTTAGAAAACCTCTGTATGACCCTGGACACTGTACTGCAACTCAGTTTAAGGGTGTTACAGATCTTCTTATAACCTAGGCCATCTTTGTGGAGAGCAACAATTCTAAATTGAGAGGAGCAACTAGCTGCTTTACTTCATTTCTGACTGACTTATTCTTAATTATATGGTCATAGAGCAAGAAGAAAAGTTCCACCTTTGTGCGCCCACACACACATACTCGTACATTTTTTCATGCTACATTGTCTCATTGTCTTTGAACAGTTTAATTACCCTTATACACTCTCACAAAGAGAAAAGATATTCAGGCAGCTACTTTATCTGGAACCTCATATCTGACAGATTTTTTTTTTTTGATTAATGAATGTCGTTTCTTTTGTTTTTCTCTGCTCTGTCATTCCTGTTATTAAATCATTTTATCTATGTGATTCCTTTTTCAGAACTGCATTCCGCAGTATCATTTAGGACACTGGAAACGACTTGGTGAGTTTCTTAATCACTCAAACTCATTCCACTATTCTTTCCTCGAGTCATGTAAATGAGGGACAGTCGTGTGTGCCGTTTCTTATTTTCAGAAATGATGAGGCAATACATCAGCAACCACAATCTGCCCCTTACACTGACGGGAGCTTCCTACGATGGTGTCTCTGTCAATGATGTTATATTTAGTGGGCGGACTGCAGCTGAGGGTCTCATTGGGAAAACATGACTTACACTAACTTAATTTTGTCTGCTTTTATTGAATATTTTAGGTTTTGTGATATCCATTTTGTGATTGCTGGGAAGCATCTGAAAAATGCACACTACCATATGAACAACATGCTTTACTTGAACCCAAAATGGAATCAAGAGAACATCCAATTGTTTGGTAATTCAATATATCATCAAAAATCATTAATATAATTTGATAGATCATATGTTTTGTTTTCCAATAAAATCTAAATATTTAAATGTCCTTCAATAAGTTATATTGACTTGAGAAGCACAACTGCAAAAGTTAGTAAGACTGTTTTCAAAGAAAATATCTTAAAGTTTATTTTTGGTGCTCCATTGGCTTGAATTTATTTTTATTTTTTTTTAATCCCTAAATTCTCATTTATGTTTAAAAATTAGAAAAAAGCAGCTGGGTTGGCATGGGAAGAATAAAAATAAACGTATTCTCATGCAGTTTAAGCTAATGTTGTTTTAAGGATATTTTCTTTCTTTTTGCTTTAAAAAATGAGTCACCAAATAATTTGGTTTATCAGCAGCACTATCAGTCAGTTGCAGCCTAATGATTGTAGAACTTGACTGTGCCCATGTGGCACATGAATTAAATGTATTTTTTTATGTTCATCTGTGGTGAAATTGAACTTGGATGAGGAATATAATATATTTTCATCAGTCAGTTTCATCAGAGTTTGACATCTTGGGCTGGAAAATTGTCAATTGCTTCTAGTATCTCACCCAAAATTTCTGTTTTTCTGAATCACTTTTGCCATTAGGAAAGGTTATTCTGACCTGCATTCATGTCACCTCAAGATCTATCAATAATGGCCAGGGGTAGACTAAGATTTTCGAAATGTAGTATATTTTCAGTCATCTCTTCCATTTGTCTGAAAGAAGATGGTAGTTTTCAGGTATTTTGACAAGGCTGAGATGAAGTGCCATTACATCAGGCTGCACTAAAAAACATTTTGCACTGAAAATTTTACACCATTACACTGAAGTGGCTTCAGTGGCAAATTTACAACTTATATTTTGCATTTGAGCCAAGCAGCAGATTGGAAATGGCTGTGACCATCTGCATTGTCATTGACTTTCAAAGGGCAAAAAATTCAAAGTATACAATTACTCCGAGAACCAGACCTTTAATGGGTGCTTGAGAGCCATTTGTTTCACACACAGATGCTTTGCAAAGCATTTCTCTTAATGTGTCACGCAGCTTCAATTTGCAATAATGTTTTATTACAGAAGTGCACAGGTGTGCCTTTTTGCCTTTTACATGCAGTACTTGTGAGACATGAGTGAATGCAATTTTATATTGCACCGTTACATTATGGATCCACATGCAGTGAAGACTGATTGTGCTGCTTTCAGCCATAGGTGCTTATAGTGAATGTGACTTTTATTATAGTGTGTAACAACAATAATTTCATGAAAAACCTCTATTTTTTTCTGACAACCACTTAATAAATGATAATGTGTTTTTATGTGATTATCTCAGAGCAATGGCTCTTTGAGTATGATAAATAAATGAGATGTGTTTGGTTTGTTGCGTGTAATGTGGTTAAATTCTTTAATAACTTCTATCCATTAGTGAACAGACAGTAGATTCAACTAAGAGTGCCAGTACAGTTTAAAGCGAATAAGCCTGCAGCTAAAGAGGAGTTTACTTTAATAAAACAGAACAAAAATTAAATAATTAATGTACTAATTACACAGCCACCCCCTGAAACCATTATCTGACAAATGGCAAGTTCACCTTGACAAATTATTGTTTGCAATGGCATGCTTCTGTTGTTTCCACCTCTGGGTCTGTTGACAGTTCGGTTGGAAAGTTATTTGACAGAAGGCACACCGTCAAACACAGACAAAGAAAGCTGTGCCTGCCAGCAATCTTGAAATGTATTGTTCCTCGTTGGTTTTGTAATTTGCACATTTTAAGTGATTTCCTGTCCTGTCTGGCTCACACCATCACAATTTTGAACGTCAAAACTTGTTGAAGAGAGGTGTACTATTACTTTTCGATCAGATTTACAATAAATCGTGCAAAAAAATCCCAAAGATTTACATTGTAGAACCTGAGTCATTTGTAGAACCAGAATACCATCTGTCTGTGCCGAAAACACACCTAGCAACACCCTGGCGATGACCTTTGCATGGCCAAACACCACTGGGTTTCAGGAAATGTAAAAATTGGATTAATATTTCTTAGGGGTGTAAAGGTACACAAACATGATGTCATGGTTCGGTATGTTTTGATGTCATGGTTCGGTATGGTTTCAGAACAGCAGGGGGGGGGAAACTAAATATAAAAATTGCTACTTTTTTCTTTTTTATTAAACAGTGGTTTACTGAACAAACCGAACTATCTTTAAATAAACTGAATTATAACTAAACCTACCTCAGGTAATGCTTTAAACTATAGCCCTATTAGTTGCACATTTTTATAATATAAGGTTACAATTAACAACATTTTATTTTTATTTAATTTTTATTTTTAGATATAGGCTAATAATCAACACTCAAATAAAAATGGTTGACTATGCAAATTGAACTTAAGGCAGTTTTTATATTAATTTCTAGATTTAATTATAAAATTTAAATAATTAAGCCATCACTAACAAGTAAAATATAATGAATAAATATATAGACTAATATTTCGCGAAATACTCTTCTCTCATTTCTCTAGTGAACTAAGGAGCTGTGGACACTGATGACTTGAATGTTGTAAATTTAAATATTGCTACGTGACATTTTGTTTACAAGCTGTTTTATTGACGTCTTTCTGCGGTTGAAACACTAAATGAGCGATTACATGAGGCATGAGATGTTCATTCATGTTTATTTTGTGTTATAACTAGTATTTGAGAGGAATCGATGATCGCATTCACTCGAGCATTCACTCACTTCAGTGCCTTAATTTAAATAATAAAAAAGGACAGTATATGGTTATATCTAAAACGGTGGGGGAAATGAAACATATAGCTGTAAAAGTGAAAATGGAACCGCACAAAAGAGACACGTTGGCATTGCTAGACAGTCATTTGATGTGTGAAGGAATCTCTTGTAAAATTCCTCGTGGAGCGGTTGGCAGCCTTCCTCTGCTGAACTCCTGACAGAATCAGCATTGTTAAGATGCCTGGCATCAGTTTTGCTGTGAGATGTTATGTCCTTCTGTTTTATTTCTGGGCCACTTAAGACAATTTGATCCTTGTTTGGTTATTCAGCTTGAAGCATACAAAACAGATGCAGTGTCTACTGATACTTACAGCGGCTGGCTAAAATATTCTCTTGTCCAATTGCAGTATATTTTTGTACAAAAATGTTTGTATGATGATGACCACTAAAGTGTGTAATTGACTGGCGTCTCAGGCAGCTGTTAATTTCATAGATAGCTGTGCCAATGTAATGACTTTTGTATCAATCAGTGTAAACACGTTTTTGCTGTATCTCACAGTTGTAACTTGTTTCTCATAATTCTGACTTAATATGATAATAATATTTTCCAGTGGGATTTTATTACTCATAATTGTGACTTTATGTCTCCCAATGTGACTTTAAATATTATTATAGCTCCCTTATTACTCATAATTGTGATTCTTATATCTATGTGACTTTAACAATTTTGACTTTATTGGTCATAATAGTTTATTTTTTGTTATATTTCAAAATGAGTTTATTTTGAGGCAGAAATGGGTTTCCATATTTGGCTCGATCTTGCTAAATAATTAAATAATTTCAACTAAAATCTATATTATGTGCCTATTTGTTTATTTGGTAAATAGCTGTGTACTTCAGCATCTTGCTATGTAAGGACTACAACTGATGTCCAATTCATAAAATACTGTTCAAAATGTTCAATATTGCGCCAAATCATCATATTTGAATGATTTCTTAAAATCATGTGACACTGGAGATTTGAGTAATGGCTGTTGAAAAATTTAAAGGGGTCATATGATGCGATTTCAATTTTTCCTTTCTCTTTGGAGTGTTACAAGCTCTTGGTGCATAAAGAAGATCTGTAAAGTTGCAAAGACTAAAGTCTCAAATCCAAAAAGATATTCTTTATAAAAGTTAAGAGTCAGCCACAACACAGCAATAAATTACATTTTAAAGTATTTTAAAATAGAAAACAGTTGGTTAAAATTGTAATCAGATTTCACATGATTACTGTATTTACTGCATTTTTGGTCAAATAAATGCAGCCTTGGTGAACATAAGAATTTTTTTTTTTCAAACACACACACACACACACACACACAAATATCTTACCAACCCCAAACTTCTGAATGGTAGAGTACAGTACTTTTTTAAAAACAATGGCTTCAGAAATTGACTTTTGAGGTTATTTTGAAGATACATTCAAATTTTGTTTCACTAGTAATATTATCGATTTAATTTACTTATAAATCCATAACCGCCATGTGAAATTCCCAAGGGAATCCGTGGCTTGAATATGCTAATTCTCTTCCAGGTTTTAGGACTACAAACATTTCTGTTCTGTGGAAATCTGAGGAGCTTACTGGTTTAGGGAATAATCTGGACAGCAAAATGTGACACTTCACGCTGTCTGTGAGTATCTTCAGCTCATGTTCTCCATATGCATGATCACTGAGTCGTGGGGCAGCACTGTAGAGAAATGGGGTCAGTTGTCTTTTTCTCTGTTAATATCATTCCGTGAGGCCACAGCACTTTCCCTCTGAAAGAGTGACTTGTGAAGAGCTCCTAATGTATGAAAATCACAAGCCAAATGGCATATAATTATGATTATAAAAGCTGTTTGGTGGACTCTGAAATTCTCCTGCCGTCTACATATATTTCATGCTCAATCTGGGTCACTAAATACCCCCACGTCTCTAAGATACCATTTGGCTTCAGTTTCACATTCTCAGAATAAAATATTATAATTAAGACTTGTTTGTGTTTTGACATGTTCTTTTAAGTCAATAGTAAGCAGCGCTTTGCATAATAATGACAAATCCACTGGAACAGCCAGTTAGATCATCCATGGCTTCTTTTTAAGCTTATAATAGCATATCCAGGCCTGATTTTGAATACTGTCCTAAATAAAGTTGCATCTTGTTTTTTGTAAGAAGGTAAACTGATGTTATAATGCACCTTCTCTTCATTCAGGTACGTAAAACCCACT